TCATCTTGTGGATCTCCAGCAACATAGTTCCTGGTATCACCCCCAGCTTAAGCTTCCAGAGCCATATCCAGAGGTTCCTGGGGGAAAAGAATCTGAGCATGACATGAAAGGCTGTCAAAGAAGGTTAAATGTCCTTCTCAAACCTGCAAAGATCCCTGAGAGTTTTCATCCTGCAATGGCCCAACTGTCACAGGGCCAGACTTTCCTGGGCCAAGCAACTCAGCATAAGCCTTGGAAGGGCCAAATTTTGCAAGGCCAGGTTTTTCAGGGGCAGAGGATGCCAGCCCATTCTCACCAGAGGCCCAGCCTTCCAGATTCTGGCTTCATAAATAAGATGAAATCCTTTCTGCACCTTTTTGGTAGTGTCAACAACCAATACAAATATGCCACGACAAAAGGCAGAGTAGGTGGACACCATGTTCTCTACACCTGCCAAGGCAGCCAAAAGCACAAAAGAAAAAGTTGCCCCCAGCCTCATAGAGAAAACTAAGACTGACACACCAAAGAGGCACCCCAAGACCCAGTTACTCCCCAGGGAGAAGCCAGTCGGCCTGGCCTCGTTAGATGTTTTCCATTCCCCACACAATAAGCTCTGGCTATGCTCCCAACTACATTGATCTGTCTCCATCTCAGACCACCCCCGACAATGTCCTCAAGTGGCTTGTGCCACCCAATCAGGGAACCCACCCCAGCTCCCATTCCTCATCTCAGAAACGTAGTCTTGCTCAAGGAGAACAATCCCATGACACTGACTGTGAGATTCTAGGCTTCCCAATTTCTGCATCCTTTGAAGAACACTACTTAATGTAATCCCTATTAATCATCAAGTATGGCAGAATGCCACCTGAAATACACTATATATATTTAAGCAAAAAATTCTTTTATCTCTTCCTTGCCTCCATTGTATTTCCTTAAGAAAAGGAATGCAGGAAACTAAACCAAAAAAAAAAGTCTATCTTATCTAGAGAAGGATCTTTAACCCACAATTGAGATGGTCATTTTAAAGGAGTGCCATGGGCCCCCTTGAGGGGATGGCTTTTGTGTTTATCATAAGCACATAGCTAATATGACAAATGTCAAAACTAAATGATAGAATCTCCCCTGTCAGCTCTTTGGTATTAGTACCTTTCTATAGAACCCATCTGGGAGATCTTGCTGTGATCCTGTTGCCTGTTTCTTATCTCCACTGCCTGAGTTGCATGAAATGGATCATAGTAGGAAATGGGGGGGTGGGTGTTGTCCAGCTGACATGCTCCTGAGCAGGTATATAATACAAGACAAAAGCAAGTTTGCTTGGCACTAAAAGGAACCTAGAGCCAAGAGATAAACCCAAGGCCCAAATTCTTTGGGGGAGGGAAGAGTAAACTCTAAGCTTGTGTCTGCTTGCCCTTGGTATGTGTGATGAAGGGTAGTGAATTAAGCAATGAAGTTTTTTGGGGTAAAAAAAATCACAAACACAAATTTTCTAAACATATTCGAGCCTGTGAAGTTATTTGTACCTATTCCTTTTGCTGTGTCCTATTTCTATACCACCTTCTCCTGGGGTCCTTCTCCACTAACCTGTTTTCCACCATCCTTACTCCATGAATATACTTCCATGGTAATAGTGCTGAACTTATCAGCTTAACCTCTTCCCAGGATCTATACGATACCTTCCCCTCAAAAGATGACTCTTGTCCTTTGTTCCACCAAGGACTGCACCACACAGGCCCCACAGCTCTAGCCCTTGGTTCCTGTGTCCTTCCTTCCATCTCCTCATCCATCCATTTCTTAATTATGTTCCCATTGCATTTCAGAAACCACGAAACCATTCATCTGATTGCCAAAGGAAGGCTTTAAAAAGTATCCTATTAACCAGCCACAGAAAGTAATCAAAAATCTACAATTTAATGCCACACATGAATATCTTACAATATGATCAAATTTCTGGGCCTTTTGCCTCTCTTGCTGGGAATGTCCAATATTTTCCTATTTTCAGGGAAATGTCTGTTTATCATTAATGAAAATATTATGTGCAATTCTCTGAAATCCTTGTGATGGAGAAATCCAAGAAGGAGGCCAAGAGGCAAGCTGAGATCTGTAAGCAGCTTCAAAAAAAAGTAAATGCCTCCAAATTAGGTCCTGTCTTCATTCTCCCTCACAGACTAAATGAAGTCCTAGATGGGCGTGGTGGTGCACACCTGTAATTCCAGCACTCAGGAGGCAGAGGCAGGGGGATCGCTGCAAGCTTGAGGCCAGCCTGGGCTACATAGTGAATTCATTGCCAGCCTAAAGTACAAAATAAGACCCTGTCTCAAAAAACAAAACAAAACAAAACAAAAAATCAACAGACTAAATGAAATCCTTCTACAGACCTGCTTTAGATAGCCACCCCAATAATTTGCTACACTGAGACATTTTACAGCACTGTTGTAGTCAGGGTTTGCAAGGAAATAGATTTAATACAGGACACATGATTTATAGGATTATTTTATAATATTCCCTCAAAATGTCAAATGCAGAAATGTGCAAGAGATCTGTCCACATGCTAGAGACCTGAAGAATTCAGCCAAGAGCCTGGATCCCCTGGCAACGGCCCACAGGAGTCCAGCTGAAGGCCTATATCCCATTGCATCTCTCATGGAAGTCTGTATCAAGAATCTGCACCAGAAGGTCTAAAGGCCAGTGGTGGAAGCTAGAAAGTCTGTGGTGGTGGGGTGAAGGATCCGTACTAGAAGGCTGAGGGATCTGCACTGGAGCCAGGAAGTGACACTCAAGGTGAAGATCAGAGCTCCCCTGAAGAGAGCAGTCATCCCTGGTGACAGCGAGGACCTGAGCTCCTCCCCTGACAAGAACAACTGAGTTCATGTTAGGAAAACCAGCCATAGAAAGCTTCTCCAGGAAAATCAACAGCATGCAGTCTTCCCCTTCCATTCTCCTTTATGCCATTCCTGCAACAATCCTTAGCTGGGTCTTCCACACCCTGAACCACACTGACTTCAGCTGGGCATTCCTACTTAAATTGACCATTAGTTAATCCACCACAAGCACTTACCTCTCCCAGTTCAGGCCCAGCCTGCACTCCCACCCCCACCATTGACTAGGTAATCCAAAACTGAAGGTACCCTCAGGACTCCTAGATTCACAGAACTATTAATGATGGCCAGCATCCTCATATTCCCTTGAACCTCCTGTCTATCCTTTTCTAGTTTACCTGGGTTGGGTCAAGCATTGGTCTCCCTAGAAGGAAGACTGGATGTCCCAACCTCTTAAGGAAGCCATGGCAGAACAGCATAGCTTAAGGTTATGATTCCT